AGAGCGTTCGCTCAACCAATCAAGAGCAACGCGCGTTTGTATCCGTTCGACAAACCAATCAAATCGATCTATTTCCGTTCGTTTGTTAATTATTTCTGTTTTGTTGGCGCGTTTTCTTTTCAAGGTCATACGAAAATCGCTCTAACACCTTCTTTGTTTCCTGGGGCCAGCTTCTCGAAAGGCCCGTCAACTTTTCAGTCCCGAAGACAAATTTTAAAATCAAACCTGTTGAAGAGTAGCAGAGTTCCTAGCTCACAAAACCAGTCAATTTTGCTTCCTTAACTGATAGTTTCATCATATTATTTCAAAATTGTTGAAACTTTGGTCTTGAATGCAAACGTAAAAAAAGTTTTCTGGGCCCAAAAAGTTACCGGGACGTTCAAGAAACGGCTGCTTGGGTCGGGTCGCATAAAGGCTATTAAGTCTACGGGAATAATAAGTATTAGTTTAGAAGAAAAGGTTATTACTTAAGAACAATACCTTAGTCAGGTGAAATTGGATCAGTATAACATTTTGGTAAACTGCCACCTAACCCTCCCGCCCGACCCAACATTTTGCATAAGTGAAAAGTAAGTGTTAACGTTGAATCAGAGGAGGAGTAGTAGCTAGTTTACCACCAGAATCTTATATATCCAACCGCAATTTGATGTCCGTTAATAGAGCTTTGAAAATAATTTAAAGTTAAATGACGTTTGTTACCTTAAGAGAAGACATAATGTTTCACTATAATGGTGAAAATGACAAATTTTAAACGAAGTCGTCCACAGAACGGGGAGTTTTTTCCTAGTGCGTGATACGCAGAATACAAAGCGCGTACTTCTTCACTTTTGGAACAACTCATTCTTTATAGAAAAGCTATCTTGTTATCAGTTTATCCAAGAAGGCTGTTATCTTTAAAGTTGACTTGAAGGGGGCATGTCATCACTCTTTCAACTGCATTTCATTTGTACTTCGTTGGCGGCAAGAGATGTCTTATCATCTGTCTTTGGCTAACCTCTAAGGCGTGGGATGAACTTAAAAGGTCTCAATATGAAGTTGAAAGGAAGTGACATTAATGTTGGCAAATTAATGGTCTATCATGACGATTAAACCCACTTTGGAAGTCGATTTCGGTTCCACAAAATCTTTGTGTATTAGCAGCGCTTATAATGTTTTATGATCTGATTAACAGCATCTAGCGTCTTTAGAGAGGAACTAAAATCAAGAGGTTAGTGTTCTAACGATATTGTGGTCTAGGTGAGGAGAAAGCAGACTGTTGTCTTCAAGTAACTAAATGTAAAATAACATTTCAGTTACTGTAGCCGTTTTGATTTTTATTAAAAAAAAAAAAATGAAGGCTAGGATTGTTAAAGGAACCCACAGTGTACGGGAGTAGGGGGTGGCCGGATCATGGCTGAAAGGAAGTAAAATATTCAGTGCAGTTCGCGTGAAATCAGCCCCGCTCATGTATTTGAGACAATTCAATGTCGACTACATATTTGTAATCTCTTAGAGCAACATTCTTAAGCAAAGAACTTAATTGCTACTACCCAAATACATTGATTAAAAAGGTAAGAGTTTGAGGAAGTAGTTACGATAAAGGGATTATAACTTTTAGCCTCCTGTACGTGTATCAAGCCCTAACGTTCCTCGAAATGAACGCCTAAAAGCTGATAAACAACATCTCCGTCTTTCAGTTAAAAACAACAATTTGATATTACGAAAAAAAGCAATGAAACAACTTTGCATGGATTTGTTTTCCTAGCTAGCCTGTCAAAATTGGTTGCCTTTCATTAGTTATCTAAGGCTGAGTGTACACTTGAGCTCTATATACCAGATAGCTTCTCATGTATGATGACATGAAAAATACTCCGGCCTGGCATAAACATCTGTCCACACTACCACGACTAGTGGCACAGGAAGCTTAGCTCCGATTGGTGACGTTCCACTTTCAAGATTGGCGCCGCGCCCCTTCGCTCCGAAGAATTCACCATTCTTTATTTTTGAAAACAAAGCCCTTCTTTATATGATTTTCATACCGGGGCAGGAGCTATCGGCGGTATAGCGAACATATAACAAATAATGCTCTTCGCGTGAACGAATGAAAAGTTTAAGTGAGTCTTTGACGACACACTTAATTTAAAAGTTTGTCGGTTGACTAATTATCACCTCTTGACATGTCAATCGTTTTCAGGAAATGTTAATAGACTCTTTCCCGAGTCTGTTTTGTTTCAAACTATGGGCTTGACGTTAATGGACTTGAAAGTAAACAAAAATTGATGGTGCAATACTCTTAGAAAAGAAATAATTCAGGCATAGTTGTACAATTACACTCAAGAATTGTACTTCATGAAAATCATTTAAGAATGGTGTTAATCTTAAAAATGTACTTAAACCAGTGATAAAAACTCTTTTTGTCTGGTGACAGTATTAAGTGCATAAAAGCTTTTTGCTGAAGGATGATGGCTTTACAGTCCTCTGCCTGAATTTGAGTTTGCATGGTGGCAATAAACGAATTGAAAGCCTTCAGTTAGAAAATAAAACTTTTCGCTTTCTCCCCTGAACTTTCTAGCCTGTTACAAGAACTGTACAATAACTAATATTTTCTCTTTTTGATTTAAAAATAATAACCCGAGTACTAGATATTGATGTGACTAGTTGCTACCCATTACTCGGAGCTGAGTTCCGCTCTATAAATTAGGGATATTTTGCGAAACTGTACAACCGAACTACATATGAATTGTTTTTTAGCTTCTGTTTTGCTCGACAGAGACGCGCTTAAGGGAGCAGAATTTGAGAAAAAGAAAGTTCGTTTTGGTTCAGGTCAGGTCGTAACGAGCAGAAAATTTACTGATCACAGAAGCCTCAAATACGCCCACTAAATTTTGAATAGTCGGCCGTCCGATCTTTTCATCTCAGCAAATGATCCGTATCGTAATAAACTAGATATCTTAGGAGCACATTTCAGATATTGAATGCTTTTCCCTACGCTTTAAGAATCGTAAACCGTTAGTTTTCACTGATTAACCTAACGCCTTACTGCCAATATCAATGGTGGACAGGGTTCGCGTGACACGATTATGTTTAAAAGGTGTTTACGTTTTGTCGTCGTTTGCGTTGAAAATGAAAGCAATGGCCAATTTAAAAAGGAAAATTGTCCGATATTGGTCAATCTTCTCAGCAGGGTTTGGTTGACAAAATAAACAATAATTGATTGATAATTAAAGCATCTAGCCTGGATTGATTTGCATATGATTGCGTATGAGCCTAAAATGCAACGTTGCGTGACTTCTAGCAATTACCCACAAATCCAAGCGAGTTACATCAGCTTTTGTTCATTCAAAATATTTGCTCTTTGCGACCAAACAACAACATGGCGGGGAGCAGTGAGCTTCATAGCTTTGAAAAATGTCAGTTGAAAGCAACCACAGTTCGTGAGCGAAATGAGCTAATGTTCAACAATGAGATACTCAGTGACGTGCACTTTCTGGTGGGAAAAGATAAAGCAAGAATTCCGGGCCATAAGTACGTTTTGGCAATTAGCAGTCCAGTATTTTTTGCGATGTTTTATGGTCGAATGGCGGAGCCGGAAGGCGACGTGGCTGTTACAGACTCAGAAGTTGAATGCTTTATGGAACTTTTGCGTTTTGTTTACACCGATGAAGCAGTTTTGACACTGGATAATGCTCTTGGCGTGCTGTATTTGGCAGAAAAATATATGCTGCCAGTTTTGGCAGCGAAGTGTATCAAATTTGTCGACGCTAGTTTAAATCCGGAAAATGCCCTAACGGTTTTGTGTCATGCCAGGTATTTAGCGAAGGAAGAACTTCAAGAGAGATGCTGGGAGATTGTAGATAGTTATACGACTCAAGTTTTAGACTCAGAGGCATTTCTTGAACTGGATATTGAAACACTGTCACTACTTGTACAGCGAAACACAGTATCGGCCCGAGAGATTCAGATGTTCAAGGCTTTAAACTTATGGTCGGAAAATGAATGTTTTAGACGTGCAATTGAAGCAACTGCGGAAAACAAGAGAGTTGTAGCTTCGCAAGCAATGAAATTTATAAGATTTCCACTAATGTCGCCGCTGGAGTTCGCCGATGAAGTTGCAAGATCGGGGATGCTCTCGTACGAAGAAACAACCAATGTATTCTTGTACTTTTTCTCGAGTCACGAAACGAAGCTTCAGTTCTCGAAAATTCCTCGCACTCCAAGAGAAACTTTAACAAAGAAAACTTTGAGATGCTTAAGATTTAAAAGCTGCTGCGGAAACGACTGGTTTTGCGATACAAGAAAATCCGATGCAATAAAATTCACTGTTGACAAACCTGTCTACGTGAAGGGGATCGCTGTGTATGGTGCAAGCAGAATTGAAGGCGATTATAAAAGCACCCTGGAACTTCTGAGAGAAACTAAAGTCCTCGCTGAGAGAAAAATGTCTTTCTCATCCAATACAAGCTCTGCGCTACATGATATTTTGTTTGAGAGGCCAATTTTAATCGAGAAAAATGTTGTGTACACACTGAACCTTCAGCTGCAAGGTCCTTGTTCACAGAGTGGAAGGGATGGGTTTTCAGTTGTGGTTACAGAGGGAGTAAAATTTACGTTTTTTGAGCATACAAGTCCTAATGGAACCTCAGTTACTGCAGGGCAAATACCTGAAATTATCTTTCAGCTATAAAAATTGCCATCAACATTTGATTTGAGCCATGATTGATCAAAAATGTAATTAATTAATTATGATGCAATTAAAGCATTCCCAAGGGAAATAATGAATATTGCATTAATCAAGATGTAAATATTAACTTGGGCAATATGCTGTAAATATTGGTGTAAACAAACAAAAGGTTGTATTCTTTTCCATAAAAATGCATTTAAAACTATGAGGGAAAATTGTAAATTTTTAAAAATTTATATTGTAAGAATCTAAGGGGAAGAATTTTATGCAATTCTTAAGTTTGCTTAGTTTAAAAGATTATATTGTAATGTCAATGCAATTGATACATGACTAACTTGTGTGCCAAAATTAAGGCAATTTGCAAATTCTGTATTGTATGTTGTTGGAATTTTATCCAAAGGTGCATCAGTCATTTCCACAACATGTAAGAAACGAAAGTATTAAATGCTTGAATTTATGTACAATGTTTTCAGATATGTTAGCTGTGCGGCAGCATTTTTATGCAATACTTTACTTGTATATTATGACTTGTGCTGTACTGCATATTATGTAGAGTAACATCTTTTGCTATGAAATTACAGAAAAAGGGATGTTATTCATACTATGGTAAGTAGGCTAAAAAGTTCTGCTAAAATTAAAAAAGCAACCACGTATAACCTTGGCTATTTAAGAGGATATTTTAGTTATACCACAAACTTGTGAAAATTGAAAACCAGCAATGTGAAAACCTTGAGTTATTTTTGCTGTCTGTATTTTTACCCAGCTATCCTTCAAAATTCAGTGAGTATTATTTTGAATAACATGTGCTTTTAATAGTGAAGTCATGCTGATCACATGATATCGTATGGGGGATGATTTTATTTTACTGTGCAGTGTCATTGTTTGTCTCTGCAGGTTGGCTCTGCCAAAGAATTCCTGCTTTCCAATCACACCAGCCATATGTATTCACACTACATATGCAATTTTCTAGATCCTGGCTATCTAATAATAATAAAATGTTGTCAGTTTCTGCTTTTTGACTGAAAAGAATAAAAATAAAAGGGTAGTCATTGAAAAAGAAAACCCTCTTTTCTTATTCCCCTCATCCATCTCTTTTTAAATATTACTGTTGCTACAATTATCAGACAGCCCAATATCCCGTATTGCAAAAGAAAGCTATTACATTGAAATTTATAGTTAATTATTCAGCTTAAAATAGACTCTTAGCTTGATGTGGCTGTGTTCCCCTCATTCACTTTTGGATTTCGAGTGACGGGAATGATTGAATGGGGGTAAATATCATAACCCAAAAAATCCCTAGGGCTTCCAACAAAACCCTAAAAGATCCCTGGACAAAAAAATTAACCCCCAAAACATCCCATTCCGAATTTCTAAGCCTTAAAAATTTCCAGAAAACATTAAATGATATAACATGCTGTACTTTATTTGGAGAACTATGCTTAGGGATACGAGAGTGCACTACCAGGAATCTTCAGATTATTTTAAATACCCCCAAAATCCCTAGGAAATAAAGCCACCAAAAGAATACTTGCCAAATTTTCCTACCCCAAAAAAGCCCGAAATAATCCCAGAATAAAAAAATTCAAACCCATAAAAATCCTTCGGTCATCCCCATCACTTGAGATCTGGAGTACCCCTTATGCGTTTTTATACCTTCTGGAGGCAACAGAGGCTAGACAGGATTTTCGTTTGAGGCCGGAAGGCGAACTTTTTGTCTGGTCGTTTGCCATTCTATGTCCAGTACTTTGATGCCAATTTTTGAGGGTTTTTTAAATTTTTTTTTATTATCATTTTTTTTTTACTTAAGCAACCCATGAACTTACTGCCATTCCCCACCCCTCCCCTTTCCCCTATCAACTGTCCAATTTCACTAAAAATTTTACTTTTTAGAGAGAATTTGAGGGAACTCCAGCCTTGCCTGAGAAACTGATTCTTGGGCCCAGAGGAGTACTCCCTTTCCAGAAACGATGGAAACAGCGTTTCTGAGTGTTCTGTTTTAAAAATTCCCTGGAGGAACATGCCCCCAGATCCCCCTAGGTAACTCGCACCTTTGGTGCTCACGTGTAAGGCATCTTGTGGCGCCAAAAAAATTTTGCGTCCCGTGCTTTCAGATATATGTCAGCTACTTTAAAAAAATTGTCGAAAACCCTGGGCTAGA